GAAAACGACAACGGTTGGTTTAAAATCAATAATATATAATCCAGGGAAGCATCTATTTCGTAAAACATGCCCAAAAATATGTTTACGGCACACACAACAAATGTATGAAAGATAGATAGATAGATAGATAGATAGATAGAGAGAGAGACAGAAAGTTCTGCGTCTAATTCCGGGCGCGCGAGAGTTCGTCGCGATATACAAAATAGCTGGCAGTTACTGTTAATATACCTATTGAATCGCAGCGCAGAAAACAAACCCGTGACTTAAGGTAACGACGTTAACGGTTTGCGGCTTAATACGCCTGTGTGGTACGGAATTAATGTTAATGCGTTTCTTGCTAGGCCCGCGAATTTCCCGACGAGAGAAGCGATTATCGGCGGACAACATTATAGTGTGTGTGTATAATTATTATAGCCGGTGACATATCTGTATTGAGGCTCGTGTGTGCGTGGCGGCAACGTTGATGAGGAAAGTTCGCGGAAAACAAGCGGAGTAACGCGAATGACGAAACGTTTTGCTGCATCCCTTTCCCGGGCTATACATTGAACCAAGATCCTAACGAGTAAACTCTCCGGAATTAATCCTCCGAAATGTCACTAACGTCACAGTTCGGTGTGTGAAATTTGTATAGTATTCATGAGAACATCGCTTGAATATACGTTCTCAAAATCGACAGAGTCTAGCTTAATAAGAATATTTATTACACTGATTGTGAGAGCATCAGGCAAAGAAATCGCATAAGAATTTATGCTATAAAATAGACAATTTTCAAGATTATAGTAGAACTTGATTCAAATATCGTGCAAAAATTATTAATATTTATTATATTAAGTTATACGGTATGCTGTAATGTCACGCGAAAAAAGGGCGAGAGAAATAAATAGAGAATACTAGTTGGAGAAAATTATAAAAAAGTACTTTCGTATGAAAAGTGTATGCTCCCTTAAAAAATTCCAACTGGACTACAGATTTGCCCGCAACTTCGGATTATGCATTAGCATTATTTCTTGTTAATATATTCGCGCAGAATCGAATTGGCGCGTGTTTAAGCGAGATAAGCCGGGGGAATATTTGCGTGACACGGGCGTACAGGACTCTCGTATACTGAATTTACAATAAAATGTACTATCTTGCGCAGACAGCGCGTGACCGTTGCATCTGGCACCTCTTGTGCAGCATGTACGTATGTAATTAGCCAATTCGTTCTCGTCGGAAGTCCATGTGTCTTTGCGAGACCGCCGTTAAAAGCGGTACGTCAAGCGCAAACTACTCATTACTAACGTTTTTTCGACACGGCTTTTGGTATGTCCGCTACGAAAAAGACGCAATTGCGCCGGTCAGCTATATTTTTCCTCTCACATACTATCGCACGATTTCCGTCATGACTTGTTCGCGATATTTCTTGCAAAGTTACGTATTTTGAAATTTAGGATGAGACCCAGGATGAGACATAAACGTATTTTCTTCAATCTGTATGAAGTAATGAATGTGATACGTAATATATAAAACACAATACATAGAACAACAATATAATACATAGAATAATACGTATATCTAAAAAATTGATCATAGAAGTTTTAACACTAATTAGATAATACAGAGTATCTTTCTTTTGACTTTAAGTTGATACAATCGACTTATGTAACGACGATTTGTAAAACTGTTATCATCCCGTTCATACGAGTTAACAATGATCTTCACGCAACAGTAGGCGAATAATTAATATTTAACAGTAACCCGGGTCTACTTGTGTCGATTACTATGCAACAATAGGACCTCGCGCTTTGTTCGCGGAGAATTGTACTTTAGTGATAAAGGCGCCGAGAGGAATACTCGATGCGGCTGTGTTCCTCGGCTCTCGTACCGTTTCTTATATTCTCGCGAATTGCGAGGCATGATCTGCGGATGAAAAGCGGCCTTTGGTCGCGTCGTTTATTCAATTTAGTGTACACGAGGAAGACGCCTTACTGGCGTTGCGGTAGAAAGAAATTAAATCTCGCTGCGGAATCAATTAAACGACTCGCGGAAGAATGAAAGTAGCTTCGTACCTGCGCGTGTTGAGATGCAGCAAAATGTTTCAAGAACATAATCCGCTCGAAGGCGGAGCTGACGTAATCGCATTGTTCGCAAGTGCGTTCGCGTTCGAGCCGAACAAAATAAAACGTCAAATGCTAACGAGGCCGTTATCTCGCGAACGGTCATATATATCGTGCACCGCGCCTATATATATGCATATATTGTGTGTCCTAGCCCGTGTGAATGCGTCTCGCGTGTGTTTGTACAAATGCAAAGACGTATTTATATACTCGAACGAGAATGGTTCCGAACCTGAAGCGATGGTTCCTACGTAATGTTTCCCAGAAGGCTAGAACTTGCAAAGTGCAATTTAGCACCTATCTCGAAGAGTACAACAAAATATTTTGACCGTTGTTGGTACTCGCAGTAGTAACAATCAATATAAGAAATCTAGTTGCTTTCAGAAATTATCTTTGCTAATTTTTGCGAAGCTAGATGTTGTAACTTTTCTTAGATAACTTAAATTGAGATACCTCACTATTTGAACTTTGTTTTATGTTACTTGCTAATCTGAGTCCCCAAGTTTCTCGATCCGCCAAGAACCATCGCTCTAATGACCACGTCCTGCGCCGAAGATCCTCCAACATTCCCCGCGATCCTTGCGATCGCGCAGACATGTCTCCCTGTACACTCGACAATACGATCGTGCCTTCCACGAGGTCAATCTTATATGCGAACATAAGTGTGTAATGCTTGCGAGCGAGCGAGCGAGCGAGTATAGTTGGCGCGCGTCGCCTCTGCGAATAGTGTGTTGGTGTGTGTGTGTTGAGTGTGTTGAAATGCGGTGTAATGTGGATTCGTACACAATATCAATTAACGTGCACAAGAACAATACTGCCACGAGATTGCGTGCAGGGCGGGTTCGTGCAGAGAGCCGCACGGAGCATTGACAGTGTGACAGACCTGGCTTTAATAGACACAACTTTAGCCCCGACGGCCATGTTCTCTTTAATGTAGATCGGGCCATACACTACGTGGTCCCATACGGGCGGATTATTCGCACGGTCCACAACGTCAATCTGAACCTCCACCGTTCGCGACAAGGGTGGGTAGCCCCTGTCTTTGGCCATCGCCTCCAGCTTGTACGTCTCGCGCTACGGCCAGACCGCGTGTATCAACAAACGGGAACAAAAAACAACGGCGTTAGTGTCAAGGCGCCAAGGCTCGTGGCAAAAAGGGAGAGTACATGGTACATGTTGCTCCCCGTTGTTCTTTTTTTTGGTTTTGTTTTTGAGAGAGGCGGGAAGAAGCTTCTCTCTCCCTTGTCATCCGCTGGGCAGTCACTCGCGACGCCCTGCCATCTCGGCCATCCGCCAACCGCCTGGAACGTTTGGCGCGAGCGCGAGCTCGCATTATGCACGCACCCTCGTGCACGAAAATTTGCACGTACGGTGAGAATTATTATAGCAAAAGCGCCCGCGCACGATTGCGATGCGTGGTTTCTCGAACAGTACGAGCTCCGGATGACGAGCGGCGTGTGATGGACGATCGACGATCCGCAACCCTGTATTTTCTGCGCGTGAATATCGCAAAGAGGCACACAGCAGGTTCTCTCGCTACATCCTTGCCTAAACTAATATTGAGCACGCTAGAAACGCCTGTAGAGAGGGCACGTTCACCGCTCCGCTTTCCCGCATTTTGCACAATTATTGGTTGTTATTGCGTATATATATTCGCTATATGATCCGCGCGCGGCTATCGCTGCGTCTTCGGAGTCTTTGAAGAAGCGTGGGTTCCTCTTTGCTCGTATTTGCCGAGAGAGAACGAGAGACTGTTCGACTGTCAAATGGAGTAAGTTTAGAATTATGGAATAGATTTTAATAGAATAGTAAGAGAGTTCTGTAGATTGATATCGTTTGAAATTTGTAACAATTCTGCAATTATCTGTTATAAACTTAGTTAGAAAACAAGTCAGACGATCTGATTACGTAGTGTTCTAAGATGAATTCGAAGATAAAAGTCCCTCTACCGCAATATCCATGTTACTGCTAATAAATTGCATGTGGAAATATAATATATAAACTAATATATTTTCTCAGGAAGTTTTATAAATTTTTCATTTTACAACAAAATGCTAAATCAGAGCAACAATATCAGAGCAATGAATTTTAAAGCTACAGTTATCGCTTACGTTTAGGGCCAAAGCACATATGACAGTCGTAGTCGTGGACGTAAGTAACGCACAAGCTTTGGCGTATCCTGATCTGTCAGGTCGGGGTCTACGACCGTCGTATATCGCTACGCCATGTTATGTGCTTTGGCCCTTATTTACAATATTTAAAACTTACTTCACTTGAAAATCAAAAGACTCGGATCGTATCCGAATGATATCTGGTCGATTGAACCCTCGCTGTCTCCAAATATCGTCCAAGAGCGATCGCCGCGGCTCGCTACAGTACATATTGGGAAAAGATAGTGGTAGCAGTATAGTAATAGTAGTTGTTGTAGTAATAGGAGAAGGAGTGTCCGCCAATCAGCGATCTACCGCGCCGCGCTTAACCATAAGTGCTTCCGCAACCAAAAAGGAGGAAAAAAATGTGGTATATATCGTGTACCCGGTTGTGTCTAAAAAGAAAAGTGTATATAGATGTACGAGAAAATGGACAAAATAAAGATCGAATGTTGTGATAGAATCAGAAACGGAATAGAACAGAGGAATAAAAAGAGAGAACCCAGAGTATGTCGGAAAGTAAATACAAGTGCATAAAGGGAATCGATGGGACAGAAAGACAAATAGAATACGTGAGTAATTGAATGGGGAAATAAGCAAAAAGGGGGAGCGAGACAGAATAAGGGGGTTGATCAACACATAGAGAAAAAGAGAGAGAGAAAGAGAAAGAGAAAGAGAGACAGAAGGGACAGCACTGCATGGCACGGCACGGCATGTCACGTGTCTTGTCTCGGTCATGTCGTGGCATACAAACCTGGCTTTCACCGACGTCACTACAGTACCCACTGTGACATTTTCTTTGATGTGAGTGGGGCCGTATACATTCAGATCCCACACAGGTGGTTTATTGTTTCTGTCTACGACGTCTAACTCAACGTCCACGTCTGCGGACAAGACTGGCATCCCTCTGTCGGAGGCCCGTACTCGCAGGCGATAGCTGTCACGCTAGTGGCAAAACATTGGGCCGTCAACTTATAGGACATTTTCTTTCGGGATTTTATAGTTGGCGGTTTTTTTTTTGCGATTGTTTTCCGTTTCATCACTCTTTTTACTTTTCTTTTCTTTCGTTTTTGTTTTTTGTTTTGTTTCTATTTCGTCTTTTCCGTTTGGAGTTTACGAAAGAGCTAAAGCGTCACTCGGCGTCGAGCGCGTTCCACATAAGAAAGTACCCTCGAACGGTTTTTCTGCTTTTTATTCGCGAAATTGAAACGGAAGAAGAAGAGAGAAAGAGACGAACAGATAGAAAAGATAGACGGAAAAACAGAGAGATAAAGGACCGTGCAGTCTCGTAGGTATCCTGGACATAGGACGACTCCGTTGCGTGTTACCTCGGTGATAGATTCACTGTCTAACGTAAAAATCCATTAACTTTCCTAATAATTTTTGCCCAATTTAATACAAGTGCATCGTTCGCATAAGAACAAGATTTATTGCAATGAACTCAAACATGCTGTGAGGTGAGTATACTTTCGTGAGTAGTTTCGTGATTGCAACATACAGTGGCATGATGATGATGGATGATGATGATGATGAGAATCATGACGATGATGATGGTGATGCTGATCGTGATTAAGACGGTAATTACGATGGAGATACTACATCGCCGACTTCTGCTGATTAACAAAGTAATGATAACATTGATACAAACATGTGCATTCGGTAATCGATTTTAATGAAATAAGTAGATTACGAAATTTATGGACAAATGTAGACGATGTAGCTGCGATACACCTACCTGTCGAATGCATACGCTTGTATATTTGAGCTCATTGCTATTATTGATTGTATTAGTTGATTAATGCAAACAGATACCTTTGCCGGTGCGTTATTTGATTTTATGTCAACAAAAGTATTCGATAATTTCGTAAAATTATTTGGCAAATAGTAAGTTAAGAAAAATCTTTCTTCTAACGGAAGAAAAGTGCGTCTTTAAAGATCGTTCATTGAATACGTTGATTGCATTAGATAAATGCTGTGCTTATCTTTGCTCATCCGAGATAACACGAAAGCGGATATATACTAGATGTTCTAGAATTGTTCCTTTCATCTATAGATTCTTCGATCAATTTGCGGTTATTTCTTTGTGTCTGTATCAAATGCGTTATAAATTTTCGACGTGTCTTATTATTCTAAATTCTAAGACTATGTTAAGACAAAAGTTTGGAATACTAGAAGGTTCACATTTGCGCATCTTTTACAGTATAATAATAATACTAATTTATGAATGTCATTTTGTCTTCTGTATATTACAAAGTCTTATTAAAATGTCTAGCAGCATCAAAGAATCTATGTTTAAAAAGTAACAGGTACTGTACTTTTAACACTTCTAAACTATCTAGTATACTATAGTGTAACAGCGGGTGAATAGTAATAAAAGATAAATTTTAAAATTATAATTAAAAATTATATTGAAAACTTATGTACCGTGAAAAATACAGTAAACGAAGATATACGTGTCTAGAAAAGTTAATAGAATTAAGTTGAATCGAACAACTGAGTGAATAAAGTCTTAATTTTCGAAACTTAATTTTTTATGCTTTAATGTAACATTCTCTGAGATTCTATCCACCCGCTGGTCTTAGGGTAAATATCGACATCGCGATTTATGTTAATAAAAGCGCCATATCATGTCAGTCCATCCTTTGTTCCCAAGTGAACATTTGTCTACGAACGTTTGTCTATAAGAGATCTTGCTATCTCATAAAATTCTAGTAACGAAAATTACCGGCTCTCTTCCTGGAACATTAAAAGTAATTATTGAAGCTGTTCCAGTAAAATAGAACCAGATCCCTGTTCAACATTCGATATCCAACGGACGGTTTAATCAAATGCATACACGTAAAACACTTTAATTATGATTTTGTTAAATATTTGAATTTCTGTGATATTATGTAATTTTACTTTAATTGAAGATCAATGTATTCAAATTAAAACTAATTAAATTAAGGTGTCAATTTCTATTTTAACATAAAATAAAATATAAAAGAAAATAAAATATTTGTAAAGATAAAATTTTTTATAATCTGATATATAAAGAAGAATTTAACGTAGAGTGAGATATCCGTTATTTATATTAATATTTGAAACGTCCGTTGGATATTCAGCACCGCGGACAAATTGACAGGTCACTGGTGGCGCAATATCGGCACAATAAAGGCATCCTTCACCTACGGATACATACGAGACCGGGATGAAAGAGCGAAAATAGACAGCGCGGTAACACGTGTGTATGTACATAAAAAATACATCGCGCGTGATATAAAATTTCGAACAGAAATGCTCGAGAAGAAACGATTAGATGTAGAAATATTTTGGTAGAAATTGAGCAACAAGAAGAGAATAGAGCAGAATAGATAGACAGAACGAGAGAGAGAGAAAGAGAGAGAGCAAGAGAGAAAGATAGAGTGACGTCTCCGAGTGACAACGAGTAACAATAACAGAGGCGAAAAATCATCGAAACGATATAATGTTGAATAATCGAACGGAAAGGCGCTCTAGTATTAGCAACGAATATTTATACTTTTCTTTTGCGCTGGTATAACAATGGTCACATCATGATGTATCTCGATGCAAGGTGTGAAACACAAGAATATAGATCCTACTTACTGGAAAACAGCCCTTTTTTTTGTCATCATCAAATCCGAAGAAAGTAAATGGTGCAATGAACACAAACATAAACAATAAGAAGTTCAAATTAGTCTCTTTACGAAATCAACCAATGCAGGCATTTTTCATGCAAGCGAGAATGCGATAAAGAGGCATCGGGAGACGGGGGGGAGGGAGGGAAGAGAAAGAGGGGACACAGAGAGAGAGGTTGGTGAACAGAGGGTGAACTGAAGGAGGGCTCGGGGGAGAAGAGATTGAGACGGGGAGATAAAAAAAAACTATGACGACCCCTCGTCTGATTCGTTTTTTTTTTTCGTTTTAACGACACTCAAAAACCGATGGACGTTATTTTCTGATATATCGTCGTGATAGTTTAATCCGCACGTTTACGGCTTTCCTTTCATTCCGTGATTACTTCCGTTCACTTTCAATTTCTTCCCGTTTTTCACGACAGTGGTATGCCGCCCCAATCACAGAAGAAAAAATGTCACATCACGGACAGTTCTCTTATGATCTATACATATGTATATACACATATTTATACATTAGTCGCTCTCAATCAAAAATGCTTTTCGTGTTCTTTTCCTTTTCTTTGTCAGTCACGTCGTGGTACACCGGGGAGAGTGGGATGAAAATCGGGAAACGTCAGAGAAAAAGTATGTTAGAGAAAGTGAAAAAAGAAATAGGAAAACAAAGAAAGATATGAAATATTGTAACTAAAAGAAATAGTAATAAATAAAAAACGCAGAGAAAGAGAGGCTTTGTCTTACGTACAAATCAAACGAAATATGAATAGATAGATAGAGAAACTTGTCGGGAAAGTAATCAACGCAGCTAATTCAGTAAATATCCAAGCAGGTGTACTCAGAAAAAGTAATTACCGACATGTCAATAAAACGCAAAATGCAACAAACGAAAGATACTTTTTGAAAAGGAAAAAAAAAAAGGTTCAGAAATTAGAGATAGATGTAGGAAAAGATAGAGATAAAGATAACGAGAGAAGTAAAGGGCGGTGGATGGATGTAGGAGCGAGAGCGAGATCCGTTCCTGTAAAGGAATCAAAAACACATTCATATAAAATATGCAAGCATTGTCAAAAATTGTTTATGTCTGATGCACCACAAAATGCGTAGAGGTTGAAGTACACCGTACGTGGGGCTCAAAAAATGTTGTTCCCACCTGCTCCTGGAAGTTCAAAAAACATCACTTCCCTTTTTAAAAACATTCACAATTAATAATGTTAGTTGATTAATTAAAGATCATTAGTTTCCTCCGAACGTTTCCATCTCTTTTTGTCATGTCTCTTATTATCATTTGGCTTTTGCATCTTTCCTTTCCATTTTTTTCCCGTTTCTCCACCAACGCGTAACACGTACAAAAATCACACACATCCTTTTCTTGGCTACTTTTGGGGAAAAGTATGAAAAGTGCACACGTTCGCGTTCGGTCGGCCGTGCACACGCACGTACGGGCCGAGCCGCGGGCGTTTCTTTTTTTTTTAGTCTGCAAAATCACGCGCGTCGGCATTTTGCAACTCGTCAAATTTGATCGAAAATCATGAATCGCGACACAATTCCGTAAAAACGCGGCGAAACGAACAACGAACAAAGGAAATCAAGTGAAGAGAAAAAGAAGGACGGGAAAGAAAAATTACACGCGCGCGTTTTTTTTTTTTTAATTCTTTTCTTTTTCTTTTCGACCGCTCATAACGTAACTTATTGACGACCGATTTTCGACGTAAAAGTGAATGAAAAAACTGGACAAGAGGCTTCGTTTGGAATCATTTAAAAAGGTACTCGCGCCGCGAGTATGTTCTCAATAGAGAGAATGAGAGAGACAGAGAGAGAGTGTTTTGTTGCAAAAATAGCCCGAACGGTCGATCGATTCAGGTACATGAAGCGTTTGAGGAAATCAGGCATAGCTAAGTATTTACCATAGTGAACACATTGTGCATATCAATGGGAATTAAAAAGTTCTATACATGTGCCGTAAAAAGGAAACTCATTTCGTTGCATATTAGTGATGAGAGAAATAATTGCCGACCAAAACGTATATTAGTATACAAGTTTATCCGCTCAGCAACAAAACGGATTCGTGTTAAATATAACGTAAGTCAACGCAAACGTACAATATATCGGCAGAAGGTGTACACTCAAGTTTTATATTTATACGAGATCATGTACATATATATGTATATATGTATATTTGCATATATATATACGTATATATATATAAATAGATATAATATACTACGTATATAGCCTACACATTCCTGGGACACGCGACACTTGTTCGGGACGAGTAGAATCCGCAGGATCTCATTCTTGAAAATGACGCGAATAATATTAAATACAGTTTACATATAGTTAACTGACGCAACAAAGATTATTTGCACGCGGTGTTAACATCGCGGAACGCTTACATTGCTGAGACTTTCGTTTCTCCGAGGTATATCGAAGTGTATATCTGAGAGCAAAAGAAGCTGGCAAGCCGCAAAGAAAAATTGCAAGCCTCGCCCACGAAAAAGTGGGTGTGTTCCAGGAAAACGATGCTGTCCATACTGCTAAAGAGAGACGATATGTAGATATCAGCGATTTAATATGGATACTTACGTCTAGGGGCTTCTTTAACACGATCCAACCAGACTCTGGCTGGATCTCAAAGTACTCCAGATTTTGCTCGTTGTTGGGTGAGCTCAGCGAGTATACGATCGCGCCATTGTTGTCAGCATCCTCGTCGGATGCCGACACTCTTAATATGTTTGTACCAATGCTCGCGTCCTGCTTCACGTTTTCCACATATCTCTGCGAAAGGACAAAAAATGTTCGATATACGTCAATTTGATATTCTTGGAGATATCGTGAAATATTTAATTACATCCGCTTTGTGTAAAAATACAAGACATAATTACAAGATCGAAAGCCATAAAGTATTATTCAGTTTTAATATTTCAATTAATTAAACAACCCATTTCTCTCGAATCATTATTCTTTAATTTTTAGTTTTATTTTAGCAAAACTTTATCCTATGTGTATGTGTAGCGGCTAAATGGCTAAAAAATGTAGTAAAGTGATAACTCAAATTCTTATCAAATATACATAACATGTAACGGGTTTAAGGTAGAAGTGGGTTTAGTTTATAATTTACAAGATCCACTTTAGATATAGCTTCGTGTTTCCGACTTAATAAATTATGGACTTGTGTTTTCCACTTGCTACAAACTCTCCGTATGCTATTAAATCGATGGAGGGTAGAATGTATTTTGATCGAATAAAACTAGCCCAAAGTTACATCGCGAATATATTCTTGAGTTAGGTACATGCACCGAAGCGTAACGCGTCGATGGTGCTTTCGTCACGCACAATCTTACTTCCGGACATCTGCTATCGCGTCTCTAACCCGTATGGTTTCCTTAAATACTTGCCCACGGGGTTGAGTGTACCCACCTGTCGGTCAAACAACGGCGGGTTGTCGTTCACGTCCGTTATTTCGACGGTAAATGAGCAAACACCTTCCAGCGAGGGCTCACCCTGATCCGTCGCCTTAACAGTGACGGATACAAATTTTCCGTCATCGCCCTCGCGATCGAACACCTGGAAACACAGCCGTGTCCGTTACTAGATGCAAATACATTAATATGAAATCTTAATATCTACAATATCTGTGAGTAGTTTGCAATTATGAATTTTTCTTAATTGCCACGACGTATCGAAAACTATAGGAAAAATTTCTTTTATTGAAAACAATGATAAACTATGCAGTTAAATCAACAACTGATCAAGTTTTATTAGACTTTAGAAGGAATACAAAATTTATTCCAGAATTTGCTGTTTACATTTAATATAATTAACAAAATATGTGTATTTTTATACTGTTTTTGATTAACGAGATTGACATAAAAAGTGAAGAGTAATAGAATCATATAAAAAAATGACATAGATATATTATTTCATTAATATCTTATTGTTAGAAATCTTTATGGACTCACGGCACGAACAATAATTAGAGTGTTAAGTGCCTTGCATGCTTATCGTTCGGTCTACGATACGTGTAATAAAAGATAAAAGAGTAGAAGCTAGAGCTAGAAATTGTTAGATATTTTTTAATACGTTTAAAATATTAAATGTACTCTCCAACGCGAATTGCATTCGTATTATCTTTTAAAGCTGATACATTCGGATATAGTCAACGCAATATTTATGGCTTTATCAAACATGAAAAAGTTTAGAAATGAACTTATATGTTTTACATAACTGTATTAAAATAAAAATGTAACAATCAAAATTAAAATATAAAATACGTCACAAAGTAATATTAAATATTAAAAAATATTAAAATATTTTTATCAGTAATATACTATTAAAATAAACGATCATTAATTGAAGTACCTTATTGGTCAAGACCTGACCGGTTTCCTCGTCAACGGTAAACTTCGTGCCCTTCTGATTAGGCTGTTGTACGATCGAATACTTGACTTGCCCGTTGACACCTTTGTCCTCGTCGGTCGCCTGTACCTTAATAACCGTGCTGCCGTTCGGCGCGCCCTCCTCCACTTTCGGGATATAACTCGAACAATCCTTGAAGACCGGCTTATTGTCGTTCACGTCGGTTATGAAAACCACGACAACCGCGGTGCTGGTGTGAATGGTTTTATCGCCATTCGGACAGCACGCGCCGTCGTCCAACGCGGTGACGTTCAGCTCGTATTTGTCCCGATCTAAGGAGATTTCCTTCCCGTGAAGACGAATCACACCCGTGATCTCCTCAATCACGAACTGTCCCGACGTGGTGTTCCCGCCGACGAATCGAAATCGCACGTTATCGCCGTCCTTGTCGGAGGCCACCACGGTGGTGACCAGGGTGTTCGGCCCGGCGTTCTCGTCGACGTTAGGCGTGTAAACCTGCTGGGAAAACTTCGGCTCCTCGTCGTTTTTATTCTTCGTGTATATCCGTACTGTCGCCGTGCCGGTTTTCGACGGCTCGCCTAAAAAGCAAAACTTGTTTAATTATTTATTTAATATTTTGACGGAAACATTTTAATTAAATTGATAATTAACAATGCGACGTTTGCATCAGAAAGCGTAACCGTAAGATACACGATTTTTTCAATCTGCTTAAACGACATGTATTGATTTAAATTTAAACGTTACGAGTCGCACTGTAGTGACTTAAATTATTGAATTCGGGTTGGGATACGCATATCAAGGAATATTTACTGCAACGTCAAATTTTCCAGATATGAAATATATACTCATGGACGCGCAATAAATAAAAGCGCACGTGTTACTCATGCCAATTCGGTTCTCTTTATTTCCAATTAAGCCGCGACTTGTTTGAAAACCATCCCGCATTCGCGCGCCGTATACGTGCAAATAACGCAAATTCGCATCTACGGATGCGAGCTTTATTCCGTGCGACGCGAGACGGGGATTCGGGGCTCGTTTGAAAACCAAATCCGTGAGATTTAGCCGCTCGGGCTGATCCTCGGCTTGCTGACAGAACGTTAAAAGCGGCCGATTTCTGCTCTCTACGTGACCAAATCACTGAGTAAGCATCGACTTTGCGACATTTGAATTTCTTAAAAGCAGGCATTGAGGAACTTTAGCGATCACCCATCGGATTCGATTAATCGCGATGGAAAATTAGCATTGAGATGATTTTATTAACGCAAAAAAATATATTCTTCGATAATTCGAGCCACATTGTGTGCTCTAATCCAAGTATATAATTTGTTATTCTTTTTTTCTGATAATAAGTGACTTACCCTTATCTTTAGCAGTAACGATGAATTCGTAGTAGGCATTATTGTTGTCCGCATCGAGCTGCTTATTATTGACAATAATACCATTGGAGTCTACGCTGAAGTGATCATCGGACACTAAATACTCTATTTCCGCGTTTGCGCCTGAGTCAGCGTCAGTTGCCTTGACTTTCAGTATATTCGTGCCCAACGGGATATCCTCGTCAACGTTGTGAGCTTGATAATCCGGTAGCTCGAATTTGGGGGCATTATCGTTTACGTCCGACACCCGAATCGTTAGCTAGAAATTAAGTAAAAAATTAAAACATTTTGTTCCGAATAAATGTTCAACAAGTAAGAAGAAGATACGCGCTCGTGCGCAGATTTTAGCGTGTGCTACATTTTCCGCGAGGGAAGGAATTATTATTCCTCGCGGAAGCAACAAAGTTCGGGAAACATAAATTCTAGTTACCTCGACCGATGTCGAGAAGCCGCCAGAGTCCTCCGTGGCCGTTACTATCAGAGAATAGATATGGGGCTGCCGCAGATCCTCGAAATCCAGTTCTTTCGCGAGTTTCACAATTCCGGAAGTCGGACCGATGTTGAACGTACCCGCGGCTCCTTGACCTTGCGCCTTCAGCGTGTAGCGTATCTCTCGATCGGCGAACGACTTGGCTTTCACCGATATTATGCTGAAAAGTTTGACACTCGCATGAACATCCCGTGGACTTGACAGCTCAGGAATAAGCAAAGGTATATATGTATACTATACGGTGTAGGAGTACATTTTGGAGAAATCTCGATTATTTGTCACGCGAACGAGCAACTTGGTCGAATTTAGATTGAACTTCGAAAAGTCAACTAACCCTCGAAGACAAACAGTTCTGACAGTAAAATGAACCAAAGTCAAACAATTACAATATTCAAATGTAAGCAGTCTTAAACAAATAATGCCGTTGAGAGCAAATAAAAGAATGTTAACAAGCTGAACATAGAAAAACAAACCTGCTGTATATGGCTTTTGTAAATGTATGGCCAATTAAAAAAAAAATTATTAAAGATCTTTTACATTTTTATATAGTTCTTATAATATTTTTAAATATATTTTTATAAAAAGAAAGAGCTACCACGAAAGACAGCTATATAATTTACGACAGACAACAATTTACATTAGAAGCAGCAAAGTTAAGGAAAAACTATTTTTTAGACTTAACAATATTCCAGACGTTCAAACTTATCTAACCAAAAGTTGCTAAAATTATTTATACTCGTGCAGAACCGCCACGGAAAAAAAAGTTCAGGCCGCTCTTTTAATAAAATACAAACTGAAAGGGTTAATTGGCCGGTTGGAATAGAACTTGCGAACTAACTCGGAGTCTTTCTTCTGGTTTTCCGGTATCTCGGCCTCGTACGCCGTCATATAGAACTGCGGTGCGCGTTTTCCACCGACGATCGATAGTCTCTCCTCAGGAGTCGACTGGAAACGCCTCTCGTCGATACGGCCGTTCTGATCCTCGGCTTTCACGTAAAGGACGTACTCCATATCCAACTGGAAGAGGTCGGTACCTCGAGTACGCACTACGCCTGATCTCTCGTCAACCTCAAAGCGACCGCCAGCTGCGTACATAGTAATTAAGTTAATTAATTAATTAAAGGAGTTAGTAAGATACGTTATCTCTCTGTTGGTTTTATCAACGAAAATCTCGCAATAGATTACCAGTGTTAATTACATGGTAATTATACTGCAATTTCTCTAATTTTTGTTTACTACTTAAGAACAGAATTAAAATGAGAATTAAATTTCGATTAAAATATGCAGTAACTAAATCGTATGTTTAAAAGTTTCACAAAAGTTGGAAATCACCGAGAATCAAAAACAAAATAAATTTCAATTGTAAATTTAATTATATATTAAAGTTATTATTATTAGTTATTTGCGAATTTAATACACCGGGCGCATCGCATTAATAACGCGGAATGAATTTATATTTCATACATTATGCCGCAAAATAAAAAAGAATTGTTTATGATATTATATCGAAGCGCGATTATTGTGGGAAAGCATTCGGCGTAATGGCGTCATTACTATATAATCCTGTAAATTGCAGATACTAGGTCGCCGTTGCAATCATCAGATGCATTTTCGATGAGAATAATGCATGATTTTACGCCGATGCGATGCATATAGATTAATAATTAGGCCGTACGCCTGTGATATCGTTCAACGTGTTTCTATGTGGCGTTTGTTAAATTCAACATATATATTTATCTTATAATTAATGGAATTTTGACTGTTAAATTGACAGAGTATTCTCCCGTTTAATGAAAAATTTATTGCTGAATTCTCGATTGATGTTTTACTTATACAAACGAGACAATTAGTCTTTCTAATTGGTAGTAATGTAGCATTTGTCAAGAGCAAGCTCTCATACATTTTCCTACCGATAAAAATTAATTTTTTCTATCAATTATTTTTTTGCGATATGTAAATATTTTTGCAAAAGGTTAATTGATTAAACTGTATTATCATCGCAAACGAGCTCTATAATAATATGTTGCATTTATAAGTATAAAATTAATAATTAATACATGTACATCTGTAAAGCAAACGGCATTAAATACGAACATGGATATGAAATCGGAAAGAAAAGATATTTTATATAAAAACGTTTTTAATATTTTATATATTTACATTAAACTTTTCTTTCGTAAAAGTATCAGTTACTCGTTAAAGCAGAGATTTATTGAATTTTTTATTAATATACAATACCATGTGGATATTGAAAATTACTTCTCTTCTTTCCAGGTTTTTAAATATATATCCAAAAACAATTCTCGTAACTATCACATTATTATTGTTTAAATGGATTATTTAAATATATATATTTGGATAAAATCTTCGAGTTCCTAGACAGTTTAAGTATTCCATACGCGTTTCATTAATTTCGTTCTTTATCATATTACATATTATACACGGGACGTAAGCGATGATGCTTGAAATATCGAATCTCAATTAATCGTGATATTACGTACTTCGATCTCGCACGATGAAGTAATGGATGTTGTGGTCGGTGTCAGGATCCCTGGCTTGAAGGGTGAACACGTGAGTGTTCGGCGGTGCGTTCAGCTGAACGACCGTTTGCATCGGTAGTGGCCGATTAATGAAATACGGAGGCTCGTCATTCACATCCTTCATGTTGATGATGACGCGCTGATTGTCGGTATCTATAACGTCACATCGATTATCGCGTATACGTAATAACAGCGCCACGCGGAACACATTAACAATGTAGAGCGGCATTGCTGGTGTACGCCACTTGCGTGTCGCGAAATATTAATCGCTATTGCAACGCTATTCAAATACTGTTTTTTAATAGAACATTCCGAAGGTTAATGACCTCGAAATGAATCTGTATTTCATCGCACAATGAAAGTGAATGATATATTATTTTTTTATTGCGTTTCACGTGAGAGGTACTAAATTAGATTATACAAAAAGATATATTGTTATATGAAGAAATTTAATTGCACAAAGCTGTATTCTTTTATGCTCCTGGTATATAGTTATTTTCTTTCAAAATGAGAGAGATTCAATTAGAATTCAACAATATTTTTCTTTCAATATTCCTTTTTGTGCAAATGTACATATTCTCTGTTTTTTTTCGTACTGAAATAGCGTTTACAGCAGCGTTGATTAATAAACAAAAATTCGTTTTGCCATATCTAAAATGCTACTCGAAGCGTGAGCAATAAGAATGCGCTTCTACAGAAAGGTCTTTTGAGAGACATAAAAATGCAATATGAAAGCAATATGATATGTAGTAATGTTTGATTTATTTGTTTGATATTTAATACAAGTGGGCGATAAAGATTGTTACTTACATTGAAATCCTTTGAAAGCCGATATGATGCGAGAAAAGAGAAGAGTTATAATTATTATTAGAAATATATGCTTGCGGGAAATATATTTTCCGAGATACGACAGACATATACGGCAATAAATATTTTATATGTTAAATTACAATTACATAATATTAATTTATAATACGTAGGTGAAGAAAAACACATGAATGTCCCTAGAATTATTTTTATATTATAAATATTATAATTATGTACATGCATTATTCTCCAAATAATTAAAACTTGACAACAAAATTTTGATATTAGAAACAAGTAAAAAGCATATCTTCAAATATTTGCTGCCGTATATATTATAATCTCTGCAAAATATATTTGATACCAATGTTCTTATCCACGTCCGAAATCACCTATATGAATCGAATGATACCGCACCTTTTACAAAGCCCCAAAGATAACAGTATGAATTAAAGAAAAGCGTGAATATATGTACGTGAAAACGGGCCATGAAATGTGCCAGTTGAGACTATTTCAGGCAATACTTATCGAAAATAAAATTTTACCGTCGTAAAATGGGCACGGGACACCGGGTGGATATCGTACGCACGGCTCTTCACATGCGAAGAATACCGAAATTAATTAAACAATACCATAAATTATATCATAAAATGCAATAAAAAACGAAATTATACAAATAAATATTTTCCAAAAAAAATGGTATCTTCTACATATAGCGATAAAATTAAATTAATTAAAAATTATGCCGAAACATTTTTTTGCTAGAAATCAATCACCAAGTGATCGGAGAGGATTTATATGTAGAATATGAAAAGTTTTTTGTGATAGTACCTGTACCTGTGTTCGTAATGGTAACCCAGAAGTCAATAGTCTTTTCCGGGCCCAATTCCTCGTAGTCCCACTTCTGTTTGACCATCACGGAGCCGTTGGCGCCCACGGTGACCCACTTGTTCTCATCTCTTATCTTGTAGGTCTCCTTTTCGTTTTCCTTCTCCAAATAAAACGCGATCTTGCCCTCGACATTTCCGTCCGCCTCGGTGAAATCGACCTTCTTCGTCGGTCGCACCGCCCTAGTGACCCTCCTCTTCTGTATACGATGCACTTCCGGTGGATCGTCCGGTTCCGAGGTGAGGAACCGCACGATAACCTTGGCCGGTTTCTCCGTGCTGCGGCTCGGCGTGCGTAAGTCGTGCGCCTCGACGACCAGCTCGCACTCGCCGTCCTGCTCCGAGCTGACTTCCGGCTCGCCGGCGAGTAACAACTCGCCGGTTTGCGGCACGACGATCAGCAGGCTGCTAGGCGTGACCAACTTATACGCGACCTTGTCCCCGTCCGCGTCCTTGGCCGTGACCTTACCCACGGTGGAGAACCTCTTCCAGCCGGGTTGCGCAACGTTATTTTTACGCAAGGTATCCAAATTGGTCGGTCTGATTTCGAAAACGTACAACTCCCGTTCAAAAATGGGGCTGTTATCATTCTGATCGAGCACGTGAACGATGCCGCTGATCTTCGAGGTGCTGAGGAAGTTACCGTCCGACGCGTGTATCACGACGGTGTAGATCCCGCGGATCTCGCGATCGAGGGGCCTCGCGGTGACCACCCTGACGCCCTGCATCTGACTCTTCAGGGTGAGATTGAAGCCGGTGTCGCTGGACTCGCTCTCTCGCAGAGCGAAGGGACGTTCCCCGTTGTCGTCCGGTAGAATCTTGTAGTGAACCGGAAAGCTGCCGCGTGCCCGCAAAACCGGAAAGCCGTCTATTCGCGTGCCGACCGGCGAGTTCTCCGGTACCTCACCCTCGCCCAGACGGTCGTGCGAGAAGGTCAGCATGTTCCGGCGATTGATGACGTACAGGTGAAGGTCGTGGGTCTGCGTACCGTTGGCCAGTTCCTCCAGAACGATCAGGTTCACGGGACGGTCCACCAGCGGCGTCAGATCCGACGTCGTCATCACCAGGCCGTTGCCCAGCACGGTGAAGTACTTGGAGAAACCGGTCTCCAGAAGACGGAAATTGGAGGCGCGACTCGCGTCGCGCCGGAATTGCGTCACCTCGTAACCGGGGTAGACATCGTGCGGTAACACGGCCACCTTGGCGTAGATGACGGAAGCGATTGCCAGTAGGAAGACGACGACTCGTGCGTGCCACATCCTGCTCTGTTTGTACTGCTCTCCCGCTCTCTATCCTCTCGCGCTCTCACTCTCAGTACGCCAGGTACCTCTACTAGAGCATCAGTGTTGATGCCAACTGGAAAGTAAAGCACAGAGAGAAAATTGTTAGTCGAGGGGACAAAACGCGATAGGTCTCAACGTAAAAACGCTCGAGAAATAAAACACTGGGGAGTTTTGATGAACGAATAAGACATAGAATTTAATAAAATCAAAAATTAATGATGTTAGGATATTATTTAATTTAAAAATTGTTGTTCTTTTTTTGAATTCTAGAAATATTACTCACAATAAGTCACGCACGAACATATTACGTTTAAAAATATATAATGCTAGCTGGTTACCCGGGCTTCGCCCGGGAGTCGTTTTTCTTCAAACAACTTCATTTGTGTTTTAATATCTTTAATCGAAAAAAATTTCTTTATCAGTTTGGATACCAATTCCCAAAAAGATCGGTAACGAAAAACAGTTTATGGTTTCTACCCCTATTTTGTATACAATTTTTTAAGATTTGGTCAATTATTTCCCGAAAAATTGGAAAAATTTCGGATACCGATTTTCAAAAAGATTGGTAACGAAAAACTATACACTCTATAACTCTCTCCGGAAAATTCTACCCCTATTTTATATACTTTTGGTAAAAATTTGGTCGAATAGTTTAAGAGTGTATAAAGAACATACACACATACATACATACATACATACAGACATTCTATTTTATATATATAGATTCTATATAATAGAATTAATTATTATATTTTTAATTACTATTTAAATTAATATTTGTTAATATTACGAGGAAAGTCTAATATCTGGATAGTATCTGCATAAATCTTTTGATTAATAATATAACAATACAGATTAATGAGGCAGACGGTAAGATATTACGTTGTTTGCAGCACTTTGCGCGCGTGAGAAAAATGCATCTACGAATTTATCGAAACAGACGAATTAACATAGGCGATAATGAGGCCGTGATGGGCTAATGCCCGCGTTTAAGCATTTCCCAGGGATTTTGTGTGCATTTTCAATCATTGCATTCGGAATATCTGAATAGCCGAGCCGTAAATTCATTACGCGTGAACAATTTAGGCGCGCATCCCGTGACGCTATATGACGGCATTTATATATTCGCGTGCAATTACACGCGCATCGGCCGCAACGTGAGAAAGCCCTCATATAACGTCATTAACGTGCCTCGCACAAAAGCTCATGACCCGTGTTACGTATATTGGAAGCAACGCAGTAAATTAACCTTAATTTTATTTTCGATCGAACACTCCCTATACATATATACGGCTGTAACGTGCATTTAATTGCTTCCTAACATAGCTAGTTGTGAAGTACATCGAGTGCTTCGCAATAGACACGCATTTATTGCTTCTCTTCTAAAATATGCGAAGAGAGATGTTAGGGAAATAAAAATATTAATTGATAAATTTTTCAAAATAAAATTTACTCGTAGCTCTTTTGTAGCTTTATTTTAATTTTAAGAGTATACGAACGTTGAAAAGTTTTGACGAATTAAACTGCAGCATATTTATATTATGTAATACGACAATATCATATTTGCAACTTAATTATTTCATAACTCGTTATTCGAAAAATAATATTTTAATTTAATTAATTTAAAATTGATAATAATATCAACCGCGTTGATTGTATTTTATCGAAATTTCTCATATCACGATTACATGAATTTTATTTTAATACTGCTACACGTAACACGATATAAATAGCGTAAAGCTCTCGTGGAATCTAATATGATCTCATATATCTTTTCGAAATGCGACTATCTTAATCTTGCGCTTTATATTCAATTACAGGGAGGCTAGTATTATTGTTCGTATAAAATCCGCATTGCACGAAACGCTTACAATTTCGGTATTATGATAATACTCCGAAAGGGAAAGAGAAAACACCATAATTCTAAAGACAAAGATGCCGCATGTAAAACAGTACAAATTGAGCAATATGAATACTAATTCAACATTTACCATAACGCCTGAATTAAATTTCTTATCAAGAATAATTTTATAAACTTCTTTGCCTCATAACCCAGTTACATCTCAATTGAAGTCGAAAAGAGTTGAATATAAAATAGAGTTGGCAATGTTTGAGATACTCGTTTTTCAGAATACCTACATGATATATAAAAGATACACATTTAATATTCCTCTTCTAAAAAGGAGATGTGAAGTTTATTGTTGTCGCTTTTCCGCGATGCCGATTGGTTCTCTTGCTGCGCTTACTTCATTTGCAGCTGTCATTGTATATTTTGACAGTTGTGTGTATCAAGGAGTTAATAATGTAATAGTAATAGCATAATGTTAAAGCTAAATAGCGCGCGCAAAGCGCGCGTCTGTAGTGTCTAGTTATTATAAAAGAGATATTACGTTTACAATGGAAACAATTCTAAAGAGCAAATGTTAATATTTTTTATCTATCATTTTATTCTTTTCGAAATTCGATTGAGATGTAAATGTGCGTTATGAGACAAATGTGGGTTGAAAAGTATAGATTAAAAGCTTAATAAAAATTAATGTTTTGGAGATACAAATCGTATCTCGATTAAATATACTCTAAGAAAGCGTCATTGCTTAAGGCAATCGAACTGTGCGATAAAGTATAACGAGGAACGCGCATTTAGTTGTCGTACACTGCGCAGGATGCGACGAACAATGTCCGCATGTACCGGAAATAAGAACCGGCGCGTACGAGTTGACCATTGTCATTTAGTAACCCTCCGTTCCATTTGATTCTATTCACGCCCCAAGAGAACCGGATGTGAGGTCAGCCGCGGCTCGTTTAAGTTCGAAACCGCTCTGACGGCCGGCCGTACCGAAAAAAGAAATGTGCGAACATAACTGTCTTTGTGATGTAGTGCGGTTGTAACGTGAGCAGCAAAATTGGACGCAATATTGCCTCCGTAGTCCGTATACTGTAATATCACACGAAATAAGAAACGTAAATTTTTATATTTTGGATAGTTATCGATTGCAAAAAAAGCATACGAAAATTGTCAGCAAATAAATAATTTAAATGTAAAGGAATCAATTGTAATATGGGCTTTTTTTAAGTAATCAAAAATTTTAACAGAAATTATTTAATCGATAATAAATTATCCTGTAATAATTTAAGCGTAATTAATTAAAAATAGAATGCAATTATTTATTTAGAACAATATTTCACGTATAACAAATTTGCAATGTTTGAGCAAAAGTTTAAATCACTTCTTCGTTAAAAGTGTGCAAAATTATATTTATCTTTTACAAAAGCAAATAAAGGTAGGAAAATATATGTATTTGACTCTTTTAGGCTATATTTGGGTAATATATATATTCTTCCGGCTAAGTAAATTAATCTCTCGGCTCGCAATATAATTACACCGAAATGCGTTAGAAGTGCGCGCAGCTGCATTCCTGAAAATTATTTCGTGCAGTTCCGTCTAGTTTGCATGTTGCCCGGTTTCCCTTACTTTTTGTTTGCCTTCTCTCTTCCCTATAGTTTTTATTCTTTCGCGTAGTTACAGACAGATGTTGTAATGCGCTTCTGAAAGCAACCCGCCCGCTATTCCGCCAACTGTTGCGTTAATAACATACGAGTTTCTCACAATTGCACGCAACGATAACAAATTCAGGTGCATCCCTTCGCGCAACGACGCGACGCGCGAACTGCCGAGTCTTTGTGCGCAAACCGCGTACTCGCAACAAGACAATACCGCAGAGTGTTTTCAAGAACTCAATCCACACCGCGCGGCAACTGTTCCTAACAACGTCCCGCATCCTCCGGCAACCCACCCGCAATGCAGGTCGCGCGCAAGAGTTTGCGACCTCCCGATACTGTGATACGCGTATATGCAAGAGACCAATTCAAATTCGAAACAAGCAGCCGCCGCAAAAGCGCAAACAAATCTTGAGACTATCCGTCGACGACGATAGAATCGAGTTCTTTGTGAGCAAAAGTATCGGAAATAGTCATGGTTTTCAAACAAGTGATATTTGTTCGGGTACTTAAATTAAACTGACAATGAGTCAGAATTGCTCTTGAATTGGAATTCTTATATTTTTCAATAAAATGAGAACAACTTGAGAAAATTCACATTAAGACTGTATATTTTAAGAAAAATTATATTAAATTTCTTATAAAAAACGTGCAGCCATTTGTTTAGTCGATAAAGTTCCAACATTTAACTAACAAGCATGCAATATTAAATTCCTAATCGAGTATTAATCGAGTATTAATTGAGCACTATTATTACAGAAATTATTAATATTAATTAATCTACATATGGGGACTTCTAATTTAACTGAACACTGATATCTTTTAAATTCGCAACTAATGAGTTGAATGTTTAATCAAGTAATACAAGTGTTTGCAAAATTTGCACCGAATGAAATCTAATCATATAATTTGAATTTATTTAAATTTATTAGATTATTGTTATGTTAAATTTATAATCGCGTTTCCTAAATCAAACAAATAACCCATATATGGCGTTTTTTAGTTTATATTATCTGGACAGTGTTGAGGTTTAATTCAGTACGTTCGTCATACATGAATATGACATTTTAATACCAAGTACCTACTGGATACCTATATATTCGAAAACTCTGTAATTGATTTTCTTGACAATTGAATCGCGCCAGCGACAACGATACGTATTGAATTAACCCACCACTGTGCCGTTCCTGTATCTATTTTCGTCGTAGCCGATACTCGCAAACACATTCGCAACCCGTTTATGCGCCCGCGCAGAATAATCCTCCCTCTCTCGCTCATTCTCTCTCGGCGTTTCCAATCTCCTCTCCATAGTCGTCTCCCCAGCGGCCTCTCCTGTCTCGAGAAGTCGAGACCTCGAGTCCCTCGGAGGGACCGAAGAGTCGAGGGCCCGCGGTCCGCGAGCAGATGCTCCGCCGCGCCGGTCTACATTATACGGTTAAGACCGACGGAACACGACACCTAATCCCTCCTCGAAACGTATTAAGTGACTTCAGCTGGGACAGCCAGGGGCCACGGGCTCTCGAGCACGGAAAACGATACATTCGCGCGCGCGGCCCTTAAAAAAGGACCCGGCTT